AAACTGGTCCGCCGCCCGGTATGTTCTCTTTTGAAATGTAGTATAGTATATTCTTGTACAGAAACATCAACGGTAGCTTGTAGATATTATAATTTGATATCTAATGAATACAGTTGGACGATAATCGATAGCTATAAATAATAATTAATTATCAATGTTATTATTAACCTACCAATAACATAAACAAATTTTCTAAAAATAAACATATGCCCTATGGATTTTTTTCTATTTATGTAGTAGGTATGCGAGCGTATACGTGCGTTAGCACGCCATAAAACGCGCGTTCACCATTCAGATGGCTGCGTGTCACGCGCGTTGTACGAGAGGGTTCTAGTCAAAAGCTATATTAAAAAAGATATTTAGTACAGTTCAGACCGTCTTCGAGAATGAATGTGATAGATGCAGTGTGTTTGTGGGCCATCCACCGAAGGATGAGGAGACGCAGACAAATGAGGAAAAGAAAATATTGGGTTCATCCTATTTTAAAAACAAGGCTTTCTCATAGTCTTTATGTCACATTATATCCTAAACTTAGAGAACACGAGGAAAAATTTTTCAATTACATTAGAATGTCCATTAAATCATTCGATGACCTATTGGAGATAATTAAATACTCCTTAGAAGCTGATGAAAATGCAATAAGATATTGAATTTCACCACAAGAAAAACTAATCGTTAGATTAAGGTAAGTCTGTCTAAATTTTATTAAACTTTTATTTACTGAAAAATATTACAAAATTATAACAAAATAAAAAATCAACCTTTAAACTTAACAAATATTTGTTGAACTACTTAATAAATTATAAAACAAAATTACATTCAATATTAAAACAAAATAAAAAATCAACCTGTAGACTTTAAAAACATTAAAAAACAGTACAAAAGAATCACCTAATATATTAGGTAAATCATTTTTATCCAAATAACTCAAGGTCTGACGACTCTTGAGAAATCTCACTATTAGTAGATAAAGGTGAAGGATATTCCATATTTTCGTTAAATTGAGTGTACATTTGATTATGACGAAGCGTATCGTATGGAATAGTTGTATAATTTGGACGATCATATTGTGGGTATGCATATCGTTGCATATTTTGTTGGCTGTACGATGTGGATACGTGGTTGGATTTAGAGATGTCTGTACTTGAAGGTTGAGGATGAGTTTGTATTGACTGATTTTTTAAAAGTAGGTTGTAAATTTCGATTTTAGTTTTTAAACGCATTGCATCTGGTACTTTTTTAATTTCTTTGTATAAAGATAAACAAAATAATTTATCTTCGTCATCCTCTTTTTTTTCTATAGTATTCCTGTGATTTAAACTTTTTTCTATTATGTTGGCAAAGTGCTCATCAGCAGGATGAAGTTTTATTTTTTTTCGTTTCTGAAGAGGACTTTTGAACGTACCTTCTTCATTTGAAACTCTGGAACTATCTTCCTCGATCGAATTTTCAGTCGATGATTCTAAATTTTCATCATCGCCAACATCTGTAGTTTCAAAATTGCTCTCCGTAGAATTTTTTTTTTATGGTTGGCTATAGAAATTGCAAACTTTTATAATATAAATATGACGACTTCACTGCTCCCGATCCAGACTTAACTTGTTTCATTTTTTTTACTTCCTTAACATATGCATCTCGAATACCCTTCCATCTCTTTTGTAATTCTAATCCTGAAACAAAAAATCGGATTGTAAACTGTGCCCATGCATTTTTATGCATTAAAATGTATCCAAAATATCTCATATAATATTTAGCCAAAGTTAAAAAAGGTAATCGTATAGTCTACATATAAAAAATAATCATAAATTATTTTTTTATTTTATATTTCAGATACTTGTCAACAGATTGCTCAATAACCGATTTACACTATAGTTACAAAATTGGAGTATCTACTATGAGTGGCATAATACGCCAGGTATGCCAAATCATATGGATTAAATTAAAAAATACTGTAATGAATGAACCTAACAAACCGAAATGGTTAGAAATTTCAACAGGATTTGAAAAACGTGCAAATTTCCCAAACTGTATTGGAGCGTTAGGTAAGGCTAATTGATAACTATTGATAAAAAAAAAACCTTTAATTTATAAAAACAATATTTTTTAAATAAATTTATGATTTTTCATTTATTTATATAAATAATTATATTAAAAAAAAATATTTTTAATTTTAACTAGTTAATGCCCAGTCTTGTAAATAATATGCAAAATTACTATTGATTATTAAAAATATGATTTACAAATGAGAAGCATATACGAATTACTCAACCACCGGATTCCGGTTAAATTTATTACAATTACAAGAACTTTTTCTCTCTTGTTTTGATGGCATTGTGTGATTCAAACTATTGTTTTGTATGGGTCGACATTGGAGGTTATGGTAAAGATAGTTGACTCAGGGTTATATAAAGAATCTACGTTATATAATAAATTAACTGAAAAGAAATTAGACATTCCTAATAATTGATAATGAAAATACAAAAGTCCCATACGTAATAGTAGCTGACGAAGCATTTGGTATGACAGAAAATTTAATGAGACCTTATGGTGGCAAAATGTTATCCTATAAAAAAAAAATTTTAATTATCGGTTAACGTTGGCACGTCGATATGTAGAATGCACATTTGGGATTATGTGTAGTAAGTGGCGAATATTACATAGACCGCTAGATGTACATATTGACTTTGCTGAAACTATTGTAAAAGCCATATGTGCTTTACATAACTATGTTAGAGTGAGAGATGGTTTTAATTATGAAGATACACTATACACACCACCATTATCAAATCTTAGTTCAACCTATACTGGCCGTCATGTACGTGATGCTGATAAGATTCGAAACAAATTTACCAACTACTTTACAAATGAAGGGAAATTAGAGTGGCAAGACAAAATGATTTGAATAATTTTATTCTTTTGTAAACTTTAAAATAAATATAATAAAAGATTAATTACCTAAATTTTTCTTTTATTCTTCTGAATCCTCAGGACCACCAAAGACAAGCACCAACTCTCCCCAACTTCTTCTCTTTATGGTTCGGTTTGAGTACTCATGCGTTGTCATGTCCCATATGGCAGGCCTTTTTTCTACTTCGTTAATTAACGTATCTATTTCGATTTCCATATTTAAAAAAATACTAGTTTTTATGATCAAAATTCGATCGTTCGTATCGAAACGCGCGTATCAACTGAACGGTCCGATAATGATACATGGAATTTCAATCCACGGAGTCACGTGCGTGGTCGCGCGGAAATAGAAACTTGCGTCGTTATCGCGATCGACGCGTGTATACGCCCGTAAACACGCGCCATGTGAACGATGTACAGGAACACTGATTATCTAAATACGCACGTCTGTCTAACGCGCGTATACGCGCGTCCATGTGAACCTAGACTTATTGTGCAATTACTTATTATAAAAAATATTTTAATTATTTTATGTGTTATTAATTTATTATATTATTTATATACAATTATATAATATTATAAACGTATACTGAAAAATGGAAGTCGAAACTGACTTACTTATTAGTGAAGTAGAAAAGAGGCCGGCCATTTGGGACATGACGTCAAGTGAATATTCGAACAGAACTCTAAAAAGGAAAGTTTGGGTAGAATTAGTTCTCGTATTTAGTCATGTTGAAGATACGAAAGACGAAAAAAAAAATTTGGTTAAGTAAAAATTAATTTTAAAATGTATTTTTGATTTTATTTTTTTACTACTTAATAAATTACAAAACTTTTTAAATCATGTTGTGTCTTGCCACTCTAATTTCCCTTCATTTATAAAGTAAGAGGTAAATTTTTTTCGAATTACATCTGCATCTTTTATAGCCCGTCCGGCGTGTGATGGATTTAGGTCTGTCAATGGTGCTGTATAAAGTGTATCCTCGTACTTGAAGCCGTCTCTTAACCTGACATAATTATGCAATACACAAATCGCTTTAACAATGTTTTCAAAAAAATCAATTTTTACATCGAGTGGTCGGTGTAATATTCGCCACTTATTGCACATAATTCCGAATGTGCATTCCACAAAACGGCGTGCTAAAGTTAAACGATAGTTGAATATCTTTTTTTCATATGATAACATTTTACCTCCATAAGGCCTCATCAAATTTTCCGACATACCAAATGCTTCATCAGCCACTATTACATATGGAATTCTAATATATCCATTGTCGGTTATAGGTCCGGGATCAGGAATATTTAACTTTTTTTCGGTTAGTTTTTTATACAAAGTAGATTCTTTATAAATTCCCGAGTCACTATCTTTACCAAAGCCTCCAATATCAATACATATGAAGCAATAGTTTGAGTCACATAAAGCCATCAAAACCAGAGAAAAATAATGTTTGTGATTATAATAAATAGAACCGGTATCAGGAGGTTGGTTTATTCTAATATGCTTTCCATCTAAAGCTCCGATACAGCTTGGAAATTTTGCATGTTTTTTAAATTCATTTGATATATCTATCCATTTCTGATTGTTAGGCTCCTTTATTACAATATTCTTCAGTTTTGTCCATATTACATGGCATACCTGGCATATTATTCCTGTCAGCGTAGATATTCCAATTCTATAATTGTAATGTAACTCAGTTATTGAGCAGCATGTTGACAAGTACCTACGAAATCAAAATAAAAGAATTTATTGCATTAATAATATTATTTTGTATTGTTAGGTAAAATAAAAAAATAAAATATTTAATGAATTTTAATTTTAATTTGTTTTAATTGTACATATTTTTCATAACACGCCATGATAGTATCATGCGATGCATCAGTGATGTGAATTTTACGAAAACAAAACTTTTACATACAAAATTATAAAATTCAGGAAACCCCCAACATTATTAATATTTTTCGTTTTAGGATTAGAATTACAGAAGAAGTGGAAAAGTCTTCGAGATGGCTACGTCAGGGAACTAAAAAAAAATAAAAAATGTGAAATCTGGATCGGCAGCTCCCGTAAAGTCATCGTACTTATTTTTTAGGAGGTGTTATGGGCTACGAGATATACTAATAATATAAATATATCATAATATAATGTTTATGAGCTACGAGATATGCTAATATATAATATAATGTGTAATATTGCTATAGGTCATAGGCGTGCGCACGGGGCAGCAGAGGCAGCATATGCTGCCCCTGGACTTTATTTGGGGCTACTGGGGCCGGCAAATATTAAATAATGGGTCTCGGTAAAATTATATTTCCACAAATGATTTTTTTTTTTTTTGGTCGAGTATAGATATGAATATTTTATGATATAGAATTTATCAGTATAAAACTAATAGACTAGACCTGTCTACTATAAAAAGAAATAGCCATGATTTTTAATCGTAAATATTATTATCATATTTTATGGTCAACAAATCTAAAAATAAACTAGGTTTTTAACGTTATCGTAATATCGTACACTAATATGCCATGACGATGCTGGCCCGCCACAACATTAATGATAGACGATATTAAATAGCGATTAGCAATTACGTAATTGGACTATTGGAGTTGCACTCGCACATCTTAATATTTTTCGACGTGCGTCGTGCTCATTGCTCAATACCTACAATTGTCCTACATTATTATATGACTATAATAGTAGTAACTAGTAAGTTGTAACATTACTGTTGTGTCATGTCCGGTAAACGAAAGGGCGGGGCTGAAAAAGCCCGTGAAAAGAAAAGATTGTTGCTTTTGAATGCGAGCGATAAATGTTATAAGTTAAAGGACATGTTTTCAAAAAATTCAAAACTTTCAAATACGCCAAGTACATTGAAATCTGACACCAATGCTGTTGGGCAATCCAATGATAGAATCGGTAAGTTTTATCCACTGACTTATTAAAATTATAGGTCAATAGTTTTATTATAAGTATTTAACTCTATCATAGTATAATTAAATATTTTTATTTATTTATATTTTATGGTTTTAGTTTTAAATGAAATAAAAGATCTTGTTACAGTCGAAAAAATCTATTCAAGTTTATCAAATGATATGTTTGGTAAGTTTAGGGTGACCAGACGTCCTCTTTTACGAGGATTTGTCCTCTTTTTATGAGTGTCCTCGTTTGTCCGTGCTCTTTTAAATAAAAAGTCAAAATGTCCTCTTTTTTAAACGTAATCTGTATTCAGTGGTAAAATGCATTTTAAACAATCTTATATTTCCAAAAAATAATTTATAGAATTGGTGATAACATGAGTAATGCACACGATTATAGATAATATTTTGATTATGGCTTGTTATGGCTGTAGTCCAGGACCTGTAGATAGTAATATATTGTGGTGATGGATGATAAGATATTGTGATAAGATTTAGAAGAACTTTTCTATTATTATTATTATTATTAATATTACTATCACAGTATAGTTATTTTTAGAACTAACAATGGAATAAGATTATAAGAATATTATATTATGCTATAAAATATAAAAACTCCGGCGTAGGGAAAGTGGCGCTCCCATCGCCCAGTGTACACCCAGTACACTGCAGTAGCCGTACCCTGACCTTAAGTGGTTGGGGTAGTCTGGTCCTCCAGGTTGGGGGTTGAGCGCAGGGCTAACAACCCTGCCTCGTAAAAATGCTTTGTTCAGGATCCTAAGAACAAGCCTCGGACTAGATTTAATGGAAAAAGACATGGAAACGGAAACACGGAACTTACTTTTGGAACTTGGAACGTACGAACTCTTTACAAACCCGGTGCTGCACAAAGTATGATTAAGGAAGTAGAAAAATATGGTCTAGGAATAGTAGCTCTGCAGGAAATAAGATGGAAGGTAGCAGGAAGTATAGACATGGGCAATATGACAATCCTTTTCGGGGGGTGTGATGAAAGAGGACAATATGGAGTTGGTTTTGCGGTGCGTAAAAATATAGTACCAACGATAAAAGATTTTAGAATAATTAACCCAAGACTGGCGTTGTTAAAAATAGAGACTAAATGGTTCGATATCGTATTCATTAACGGACATGCACCCACAGAGGACAAATCACAACAAGAAAAAGAAGATTTTTATACTGAGATAGAACAACTACTAGAAGGGATTAGTAATAGCAAAATAAAAATTGTACTAGGAGACATGAACGCCAAAATAGGGAAAGAGAGATCATATAGACCAACTATTGGTACCCACAGTTTACACGACATGACTAATGACAATAGCACAAAACTTGTGGATATGGCCATAGGGAAAGGTCTTAAAGTCAAGAGTACAATGTTCCCGCATAAGAACATACATAAAGGGACGTGGGTGTCACCTGATGGTAGGCACGTAAACCAAATAGATCATATATTAATAAATGAGAGATTTGCCAATAACATAACGGATGTAAGAACATACAGAGGAGCTGACTGCGATTCAGACCATTTCCTAGTGGCTAGTAACCTTAGGGTTAAGCTAAAAACAATGAGTAGGAATATAAAATCGGAAATTATCAGGTATGATGTAGAGAAACTCAGGGATAGTAGGAAAGCTAGAGAATTTCAAGAGAATATACAAAAAATGGCGCGAGAATTAAACTCAAACCCCGAAACAGTAGATGAGCAATGGAAAATAATTAAACATACCCTTGGAAAGGTGTCGGAGAAAGTTTTAGGGAAAGCTCATAGAACGAAGAAACCCTGGTTTAACGCTATCTGCCAAGAAGCCCTGGAAAGAAGGAAAATAGCAAGAGAAAGATGGCTAAATGATACTAACAATCAGGAGGAAGAAAGAATCTTTAGAGTTAAAAGGAAAGAAGTACATAACATTTTGAGGTGTGAAAAGAGAAAGTATGTTCAAAATTTAATGAGGGAGGCAGAACAGGATTATAGGTCACACAATACACGGCAGCTATATCACAAGGTAAATAGTTTTTAAGGCGGATATAGAAGACAAGAAATATTTCTGAAAAAGGACGATGGAAGCCTAGTGACGGAGCAGGAAAATATAATGGAGAAATGGGCAGAGTATTTCGAAAAGCTACTCAATTGTGAAGCACCAGTTGATAAATTTACATATGGACACAACGAACCCAATGATGATCCCTGCCCACCCCCATCAAAGGAAGAAATCGAACAACAGATCAAAAGGCTCAAAAATCACAAGTCACCCGGGGAAGATGACCTTCAAGGGGAAATTTTAAAGCATGCGGACAGCTCCATGATAGAAAGTATATACTTGTTGATAAAAGAAGTGTGGGAGACGGAAATTTTACCGAAAGACTGGGGAGTAGCATACATATGCCCAATACACAAAAAAGGCGATAAGCAAGTCTGTAGTAATTACAGAGGAATAGCATTGCTAGATACAACATATAAGGTATTATCATATTGCATCCTGGATAGAATCAAACCTTTGGCCGAACAAGTGGTGGGGGACTATCAATGTGGATTCAGGCAAAATAGGTCAACGACAGATCAGATATTTATAATCAGGCAGTTATTCCAGAAAAGCTGGGAATATAATAAGGAACTCCATGTTATCTTCGTTGATTTTCAAAAGGCGTATGACAGAATAGATAGAACTAGCATAACCGAAATTCTGAAACATTTTCATTTCCCAAGGAAAATAGTACAATTAGTGGAAGCTAGTATAAGACAAACTAAAGTCAAAGTCAAAGTAGGAAACGCGACATCGAGGATGGTAGAGGTAAGAACCGGACTTAGACAGGGGGATGCCTTGTCGCCAGTACTTTTTAATTTAGTATTAGAGAAGGTGGTCCGAGAAATAAATATTGGAAGAGATGAAGGAGTAAGAATGGATAGAACTTGCTTCAGTCTGCTCGCCTATGCAGACGATATAATCTTGCTAGGAGAAGACGAACAAAAAGTGGGAGGTTTATGCGGCAGGTTAATAGAATCGGCAAAGAAGGTAGGGCTACATCTCAACATAGAGAAAACGCAGTACATGAAAGTTAGTAGGGAACTAGATAACCTTCAGGAAACCGAAACCATAACAGTTGGCCAGTACGAGTTCAAAAGAGTAGAAGATTTTAAATACCTGGGCACGTTTTTAACGCAGAAGAATGAATGTCAAATTGAAATTCAACAAAGAATAAAAATGGGAAATAAATGCTTCTATGCACTAGGCAAACTACTAAGCTCGAAAGTCATGTCAAAAGAGGTTAAAACTCAGCTGTATTTGACAATCATACGACCAATAGTCATGTATGGTTCACAATGTTGGACGTTACGAAAGACTGAGGAGGAAAGATTAGCAGTTTTTGAGAGGAAGGTACTTCGTAAAATATATGGACCTATATATGATCAAGAGCTTCAAGGATGGAGAAAAAGACATAATCAAGAACTGACGGAGCTTTTCAATAGACCAAATATTATGAACGAGATCA